TTTCTTTCTTTCTTTCTTTCTTTCTTTCTTTCTTTCTTTCTTTCTTTTTTTAAATCAAAGTTTAGAGTGGAAATAAATCACTTCTAGACAACATTTCTCCCACATTGTGACAGAACATTGATTAACACCTCAATTAAGAGGAAAGGTATCTTCCATTTCTTGATTCCAAACTACTCCCTGCAGCAATAATATCTCAATCCACTCTGATTATCATTAATTTCATATTAAAAAAAAAAAAAAGGTTAAGAATGAAACTGTCACCACCACGTTGTACAAAGCTCCATTCTCTGCCACAGCAATTGCTGATGCTACTTGCAAACCCAATAAACACTCCCAAAAGCCATCCTAGGTTTTCCCTCTACAGTCACTTACAAGGAAGACTTTTTGCTGAAGCTGCTGTTCACCCAAAAGAAATCCTCTAGTTTTGCACAATGTATATACGGATCTGAAAAATGTATTGATTTTTATGTATCCAAATAAAGCAAATGAAAATGTACTGCAACGAAGAGAGATGGTTTATTTATTTTTTTTCTCGGCAGCTGCTGACCTCAAGTGGTAATGAGGCGTAATTGCAAAAGTACAGAGGGCCACAGAAAAAAATGTTAGTCCCACGAACACAGAAGCATCACGAATAAAGATCCATTTAATCAAAGAAATACCATAAAAATCGTTATACAGCCAAAGGCTTTTATGTTCTCTGTCTGTCTTACATTTTAATACATCTTTGTGTGTGATTAAAAAAGCCTGTAATTTTATCCAGCACTTTGCCAAAAACAAAAAAAAGAAAAAGAAAAAAAAAAAAAAAAAAGGCACAATAGAACAAATGGCAAATAATGAATCTACCAAGTTATTTACAGTACTCTATTGGAAATAAAGCAAGTTGAAGTAACTTTCATTGAGATATTTTACTGGTATAAAAGTCTGAAGACTCCAGTGATTCCTACATCAGTCTGTTTTCACACTAGTCCCTCAATCACCCCTGAACAAGCAGCACTTAGGGTCTAATCAGCCTATATTTTTCCACTGGATAAGATTAAAAGAACTATCCTTTTACCTTCAGACAGAAAGAGTTACAGTCAGAATACCACTTACAATACGTTCAGAGACTTCCAACATAGCACCTTCACTTTTCATGGTAGACAGTAGTTGATATTCCAAACAAGAACCAACACCTCACTATCCACACCTTAGGTTAGTTTGTGCAAGTATGCAGCCAGCATACCTGGGTCATCTACCCACACCATCAAAACTCTCAAACTCTGCTTTAAATCATTATTCTTAACTGGATTTCAAATTCAACGTTCAAACTTCAGTATTTTATGCCTTCAGCAGTAGAGAAAAAAAAAAAAATACAGGTGTCTAAAAAAACCCACATTGTCCTGTGATGTACAATTTCGTACAGAAAGATGTGTTAATTTGCACAGAAATTAAGCTTCTCTGAGAAACATCTACCTTAATTTTCTTTACTGGCATTATCACCTTTGTTATGAATATTAAATCCTCTGCAGTTTATTTTACCCCCCAGTTGTAATGCAGCAGAAGTTACCAAGCAAACAAACAAACATAGCAACAATTTCATCATCACATCAAAGATAAAATCTTAAATAAGCAACACACGTCCCCTCATCAGGTATAAAACCAGTGGCTTGAAACAAGACTCAACTGGATGATTTAAGATATGAAAATTACTTTTACCCATACAAAAAAGATACTACTTGTTCATATTGATATTATATATTGCTAGAAAAGAAACTGAGATCTCTCTCAGGTGCAGCTCAAAAGGAAGAAGCAGATCCCCAAGTCATAGGCAAAATATAATTTCCTGACAAAGGACAAAACATTCAACAAAGAAGATCTACACCAACAGATCATCATCAACCCTTAACATTTCTAAGATCGCTGTCTACCAGTACCAAATCTTTAACCAACAAACACATAATTGTTTATGCTTTACAAGGTCCTGCCAAGCTTTTAATAGAGTTTCATGGATCAGCAATTTCCCACATGCCTTATTTTTGGAACCAATGGACTGGAGGCCATAACACCTGTTCGTTTTGCAAAAACTGAGGTAGAATTTATATTTACAGTCTATCCACCGGTCACGAGCGTATCGCTGCCTAACGTCCCATGAATGCCATCACTCTTCACTTCATTGAAGAAAAGCTTTCTCATTTGCTTCTTTTGCCTCCTCTGACTTTGCATCTTCGAGTGAAGAGTAAGGACACTTTCCCCCAGATTCTAAATACTTTTAAAGACTGGAAATGCAGTTCACACTCTCCAGCAACACCACTTCAACAAAGCCTCTAGACATCGACAATATTCCATCTGAAACAGTTAGTGCTGTTCTTGCTATGGAATTAAAAATTACATAATTTTGCAGGTTTTTTTTTAAATAAGTTTTGCCTCAACCAAACAATTCAACACTGAAGAGTGCAAATTTACACAAGGTTTCCTGAAGACACAAATCAGCCCACAGGATTTATGCCAATGAGCGTAAAGCACAAAAGAAGTTCATTTGAATCTAAAATCCCAGGTGGAGATTTATGCTGTCAGCAGATAAAGAAAACAATTTTATTTATAAATTAGTTGCGAATGAAAGAGAAATTTCAGAGCATACATCAAACTATCAAAATCAAGCTGTGATTAAAGTTTTTGCTGACATTTTTGTAAGAATGTCAAAGATGCAAGACTGTAGACTTCAGTACATGCAAGTCAGTGGAACACCTCCCCTAGGTCCTGGCCTCTCTCATTGCTCAGTGTGTGCGAATGTGAATTGCTGCACAAACTCACCTTCATTCAGAAAGAATATTTTGGCAGATTCTCTTTCCCAAAGAGAAACACCCTTTAGAAATTCCACTCCTAAAACAGCTTCTCAATTAAATAAGTGAGAGCAAAGCAAAATGCTTCTGAAGGAGGATAGCTGTGATAATGAGCGATCAGTTGTCAAAACCTTCCCACACTGTAGGATCTCCTACTGTGGGACAATTACTTCACATGGGAGGAGGTACATTTCTGGTTACTGCTCTCCTACTTAATAAAGTGACAAAGCTTGACAAAGCTTGGTATACATCTAAACACAAAAATTAATATAAATGCAAATAGTAGAGTCGCTTCTCCAGCTGCCAAGTAAATAGAAGGAACTGCAATAGCTGCAAGAATATAGTGATACAAACACAAAAGGATCTAAATAAAAACACTGGAAGGTACTTAATTAGGCAATATATCATGTAGCTAGAAAAGACTTTTTTTCATAAACTTGTTTGGTCTCCCATCTAGGAAAATCTAAGAGAAAGGATCTTGACAGTGCCTGAATGAGAATGGCCAACTCATAATACTACAGGTTTTAATTCTAGGGGATACTCACCTTGAGCCATTAACAGCTCACCTACAAAAATACAGATGGTTTCACTCTAAGTGGTACCACGCTGGCATTAAAAAACAGATGCTCAAGCTGCCAACTGGAAAGAATACAGTAACTACCTGCTGATTCCAACTTTGCCACTTCAGAGCTTGAGCTGAAAGTGAGGTCAAATGTCTAATAGGCACTAGATGGACAGGCCATGGGTTGCTGAAAAGCCAAATAATTTAGAACCATTTTTCTGTTTTGGAAATGTTGCCCAGAAGGGTACTTTGTGAATTTCAATGGTTAACAAACTTCATTTCCAGTAGCTCCATAATGCAATGCTGTTTTAAAAATGTATCATTATATATGAAAATAGAAAGGTAAGAGTAAATTATCAAGCACTTATTACTGCTCTAATATAGAGACAAATTAGAATAATGTGGCTTTGCTAATTTTAGGCTTCCTTCTGTAAATGAATGAAGATTTGCTGTCTTAAAACATTTGCATTCCATCCCCCTTTAAAGTAATTTTCAATTTTGCTGGATACAGCACAACTGCATCCACTCTTTCAGCTGCAACGGGTTGTTGAAATTGAGCTATTGCCCAGCACCTGCTCTTAGTCAGACAGCTCAAATCAGAGGTTAGGGGAAAAAATAAAGATTTTATGTAATTGTAATGCAAGTCTCCTTTCAGCTTTGCTGCAGTCAGTGTTCAATTATGTTCTGTAACAATCTCCATTACTAGAGCCAGTGTTTTTCTGTTCCTCCCTGCATGCATTAACTCTCTTGTTCACACGTGATAGCCTCCTTAGCAAAGCAGAGGAGTCTTAAGAGACATTTATCCATAAATTTAAT